TACTCCATCCAGTGAATGCAGTGCACTTTACTTATCCTTTCTACTATTGATGGATATTGAGTACCCTCTTGTTTGGATAAATATAATTAATGCTGCTACAAATCTGATATTCATCTTCTTAGTAAGCATACAGACATAGTTTAGTTAGGAATATTTCTGGGAGTGAATTTGCTGAGACATAGGGTATGTATGCGGGGGTTTTCATGGAAAATGTGTGTTCTGGAAAAAAAACAACAACAACAAAAAACAAAACAAAACAAACAAACAAAAAAAAAAAAAACAAAAAACCTTGTGACAGTCCTGTTTGAGCCAAGCCAAAGCCAGGAGCCAGGATCGCCATCTGGGTCTCCCACATGGGTGGCAAGCACCCAAGCACTTAGGCCATCAAGCTGCCTTCCTAGGCACATTAGCAGGGAGCTGGATTGGAAGCAGAGTAAGCAGGACTCAAACTGGCACTCTATTATGGGATGCTGGTGTCAAGAGTAGCGGCTCAACCCACTGTACCACAACACCAGCCCCTAGATTAGTTTTTTTTTTTTTTAATTTCACTTTTCCATGAACTTACTGAAGTGCCCTCATACATGTACAGCTTTAGGGGATATCACAAATAATTTTCCAAAGTGATGTTGACCTTGCATGTCCTTTTTGCTTTGTCCCATTTTCTATCCTTTTATATCTCTTCTGGCTTTTTCACTTAACATTTTTTCTTTCAACGTTCATCAATAAATTAAAACATAAAAAGGCTATTCCAGTCATTCTGAAAATGTTAAGGATTTCACAGCTGAGGATATTCCAAACACCAAAGGCATTTCCATGAGGCAACTGGAATGTTCTGAGTAAGGGGGCATTGATGGGGAACTGACAGCCTTGGGCAGCACCATCTTACAGCCAACACACTAATAGAACTGGAATGTGTACTGATAAAACTTGTCATGTGCCAGAAATAACTTATGTGTAATTTGAAATGATCTTGGCTGCAAAATAACTAGAAAAATAACTGAGTGTGATCATGATAATTAATAAGATACTATCTTAAAGCATCAACAACCTTGGATTATGTTTATGTCCAGCTCTATCTTGTTTCAAGGTGACAGAGGTTCAAGTCTGTAAGGTTTATTTTGATCCGTTGGACGTAAATTCTTTCTTTCTTTGGCCTTTGTTGTCCTTTTTCTAGCCAGCTTAGATCATATTCCCAGCATTTGCTTCTCCGTGGAGGCTTGATCTTTGAGGAAGACTTTCATTTAGTTTCAAGAGTTCCTAGGGCCCAGACACCAGGAAGCTGCTATAAGACCTTCACATAATCTAATTACATTCTTCCAGGGGTTGGAGCCTCCACAAAGCTCTCTTAATTTCTGCTGCTGTGCACAGAATGGAACATGAGCTCTCTGTCACTGTCTAATGGCAGCTTGGGATGTTCCAGCTCCCACCACCATCACCTATATCTTCTTTCCACATCTTCCCACAACATTTCTGAACCCACATGGATCTTGTAGCTCCTAACTGGCAGTGCTTTAGAACACAAAGGAATGACATATTGCATTATGTTGAAGTAATCTTCACTAGGGTTTTGGTCTAATCAATTTGGTTACTTTACTGGGCGGGGGGGAAGTGGTCAGATAAATTCAAAAACTATGCAACTTCTGCAACATTTTCAAAATCCTCTAGAAATCTCCTTATGTGCTCAATTTTCTATGGACATTATTTGAAGCATTCTATGGCATTTGATTTCATATCTGGTGTGGTAAAATGATGGATTCCTCACTAAAGATTCATGTTCCCATCCTATAACATAGATCTGTTGACAAATATAGCTTCCCACCTCTCTTGCCTTTAGATGGGGTTGTGGAACAACTTCGAACCAGCAAAATGTGAGTAAAAATATCTGTGTCTTATTATGGGTCTTAGTGACTGAGTGTGAGTGCCTGACCTTACAGGCCTCTTGCCTTCTGACAGGAACCTTGTGAGGCTTGAATTGAAGGCAGAAGCATCATAAAATGAAAGGAACATGGATCCCTGGATGAGTCAGGAGGCCAGCAGGAAATAGCTGGCATATGCAAAGGAGAGGGAAGGCAAAGAAGGGACTACTGACATGAACAGGCAATGTTAGGGCATCTAACAAAGGGTGATGGAAAATGGTGGCTAGGAAGAGGGCAAAGTTGATATCACAACCAGGTATAAAAGTAGAAGGGGCCAGATCAGCATACGTGTCCCCCAGGAAGAGCTGTTGCCATGGGAGAGAGGCCACGGATGGAGGAATGAGCCATGACTGCAACAACAAAGACTGTGTCTTCTCCTCATGCTTCCAGTCTCCCATGGGTTTCTCCCATTGGCAAAATCCACTAGAAGCCACAGACAAGGGAGTCCATGGGATACAGTCCATAGAAGTCATGGCATGGAGTGGGGAAAGCAGAAAACGGGCAAGTAGAGAATATCCAGCAGCATTCCTGAGATCCTGCCTGGAGGAGGCCAGCAAGTGTGCTCTTACTGTTGATCTGTTGAACCACTGACACTTAGGAGTTGATGGTTCAAACAGTTAACCTACCCTAATATAGCTAGTCTCCTCAGATTTTCACATTGCACCTCTCATGTCCAAACTGATTTTCCAAAAATATCAGGGGAGATAAATATCCATCTTCCAAATATGCAAATAGGTGAATTCCCAAAGATCACTTACATAAATTTTTACATAAATTGTTAATAATTCTATGTTAAGATAATAAATACTTTCTCTGTCTTTAGGTGTTCCAAGAAAGTGGGAAGGATTTGTGGGTAAGGGGAGGGTCAAGAAAATATTTATTCTTTCTTCCTCAAAATTTCAAATCTGAGGGTGGGCACTTGACCTGCTGGTTTAAATACAGCTTAGGATGCCTATATCCCACATGCAAGTGTCTGGGCTCAACTTCCAGCTCTGCTTCTGATTGCACTTTCTTCCTAAAACATGCCTGAAGAGGCCAGTCATAGCTCCTGGCTAGGGCTGGTCCAGCCCTGTCGAGGAATGGTTGTTGTAGGCATTTTGCAGTGAACCAGTAAATTCAAGTTCTTTTCTGTCACTTTCTCTCTGCCTCTCAAATCAAAAAAAAGTATATTTGAATCTTTATTTATGTGGGAGGAAGCACTATGAGAAAATAGCCAAATGAATACTATGGAAATAGTCTTCTCAAGAGTTCTCATTCCCATTTCAGCTCATCTATTTCTTTTCAGTTCCACTGACTTCCCCCTCCCCAGCTGATGTGCTTGTGGCTCTAGCTGGCCCCTCTCTCCTGGAGACACCAAAAGATTCCCCCACTCTCCCCAACCCCTACTGTGCTCCAGTTCTCAAGACTTCTCTCCTTATCTTCCATTGAAACATTTCCCCTGGACCTTCTTAGGTGAGAGGTTAGCTATTTTAATAACTTTATTCAGCCATCCATTTAAAAAGATAGCATCAGTTTTGTGCAAGGTGTATTTCAGGTGATAAGGTTACAAAGATAGAGATTAAACTGACAGATGATAAATGATGATGATGATGATGATGATGATGATGATGGTAGATAGATAGATAGATATCTTAAAAATACATTATAGTGATAGAGACAGGATGTGAAAGCAGAATGAAGCAGAAAATGGCCAGTGTCATAGAAAGGGCTCTACAAGAGTTTATTTTTTTACAAAAGGAAGGTAGTTGATATTTACCATGCTGGAAGCACTAGGCTAGGTATGATACATGCATTAGTTCACCCTTCTTTCATGTGGCTAATTCCTTCTTTTTGTTCAGAAATCTGTTCAAGTGTCACTTCACTAGGTAAAATTTCCTTATGTCCAACATACTCTGTCCCTCTATATGCTACCACAATCACAGTTTTATTGCATCACAGGGTAATTGTTGATTTATTATCTGTCACCCCTAAAGTTCACAAGGTCCTGGAGATGGTGGATAATGCGATATCTTTGTATATCTTCTTTACCTAACTCAGAATCTGATGCATACAAAGATGGATGGATGGATAGATGGATGATGGATGGATGGATGGATGGATAGATGAATGGATGGACAGGTGGATGGAATGCTATTAGAACATTGGATGTGGCCGGCGCCACAGCTCAACAGGCTAATCCTCCACCTAGTGGCGCCAGCACACCAGGTTCTAGTCCCTGTTGGGGCGCCAGATTCTGTCCCGGTTGCCCCTGTTCCAGGCCAGCTCTCTGCTATGGCCCGGGAGTGCAGTGGAGGATGGCCAAAGTACTTGAGCCCTGCACCCCATGGGAGATCAGAAGAAGCACCTGGCTCCTGCCTTTGGATCAGCTCGGTGCACTTGCCACAGTGCGCCGGCCGTGGCAGCCATTGGAGTGTGAACCACCAGCAAAGGAAGACCTTTCTCTCTGTCTCTCTTTCTGTCCACTCTGCCTGTCAAAAAACAAACAAACAAACAAACAAACAAAAACAAACAAACAAACAAAACAACATTGAATGTAAAACAGAACAGTGTGGGCAACATGGAATCAAGAACATAGGAGGTAGGAGCCAAAGAGTTGTAAATATTCAGTTGGTTGCATTAAAAATGTGGACAAGAAGATGGCAAGACAACTGTTGAAAATAGAAGGTAGAACAATGTGCAAGGATTTGAATGTCAAATTAAGGCAGTTAGACCCATGCTATGTAAAGTGGAGAGCCACTGGGAGTTGATAAGTTGGGAAGAGATGAAATCAGAGTGTGTTTTGAGATTAATCTAGTGGGTATAGTGTTGTATTACAGTGGCTTAAGCCACAATCAGAGATGCTGACATTCCATGGAAGCATTGGTTCAAGTTCTTGTTGCTCCACTTCTGATCCAGCTCCCTACTATAATGTGCCTAGGAAGGCAGCAGAGGATGGTAGCAGTACTTTGCCCCCTGCCACCTACATGGGAGATCCAAATGGAATTCCACGCTCCTGGTTTTGGCCTGGCTCAGTTCCAGCTACTGCAGCCATTTGGGGAGTGAACCAGCTGATGGAAAATCTCTCTCTTTCTGTTTTTCCCTCTCTGTCCTTAGTTCTGCTTTTCAAATAATAAAAAAAAATATATTCACCTGAAAGAAGGACCAGATTACATTTTTGATAATATATTCACTTTACATCAGGAAATTTATTTGTGTTAATGCAACGAAATACAGTGTGGGTTTGAGCAGTGGTGATACACATTCCATTTACCACAAGATTTCAATCCTGTATGTGTGAAGATTAGCCTTATGTATAGTTTTGTTCTGCAAATTTTTTTTGTTTCAAGCAATTAGTCTTTATGCTCCTCCCCATGCCAGCAACCACACAATGTTGATGCAACGCTCTGAAATTAATTCTGAGCTTCTCCCCAGGGCCCAGCATGTAGTTGCCAACAAGTGCTCACCGTCAGCAGGGAGTGTCACAAGCGACCTGCACAGAGATCCTTTTACACAGCAGCATGTACTGGCAGAGATTTCATTATTTATTTTACTAGAATTCATTTTTAGTTGACACATTCATTCAAAGAGAAAATATCTCTGAAGGTTACAAGAATATTTTAATACTTGATAAATAATTAATTATAAGAAATACAACCATACTACAAATTAAACAACCATTTCTGGACAATCGGGTATTATTCATTTCAACTTCATTTCTAAGCCACCTTCTGTAATAGTGCATGTGTACCAAATCAACAAGAGACTACCTCAAAGTACTTTAGATAAAAGCTATAACTTATAAGTATAAAGCTACATAGTAAACATTAATATTGAATATACAAGTTCTGTTGATATTTTATTTTTAATATTTACGTTCTCTAATTTCCCAAATCAATTGCCAATCAGAAAATATAATTGCAAAAAACACAAGCCTGATGAGACAGTATTGCTGAGTCATGTCGTATGAAAGGAGATAATAAACAGGATCTTGTATAGTGCCCAGATGAAGTTACAGAACTTTATAGAAACCATATGTTCAATAATCAACATCTCAGAAGAAAATTGAATTACATTAAATTGTGATATTTTAAGTTCAAAGTAAAGCAAATCACTAGATAAGAGCCATGTTTCAGCCTACTTTTTTAGATCCCAAGGTGACTCATTGAGAACACTCACGATGATGTGTGTATAACTAAGTTAGAAGTTGATTGTCATTTTCCTGTTACTCTAGACTTCAACAAGCCGTCCTCTCCTTTCCAAAGTACCCCAAGCCTGGGGTTGAATGAAGGACCAGGATAGCAGTTCTCCTCCTCTTTGTGCTGTGATTCAGGTTCTCCTCTACCGATTGTAAAGGCTGTGGGGAAAGCTCTGGAAGCATGGAAGATTGAAGGCTGAATAGATGCTTATCTTTTTGCCACCCATGACTTCACCATATAATCCACTTAATAACTGCCTTGGTGACATGTAAATTATCTTTGTTTTTGTCTTTCAGGCAGAGGAATGTTTTGAGATACAGATACTTTGCCATTTACTCTCTTGCAGGAAAATCCAGAGCAGGTATACCAACTCCTTCAATATTCTCTACGTGCCCACAGTTCTCTGAAACATGCATTCTCTTCCAAATTCCCTACTCCAAAGGAAAGTCTAGAAGCTGTAATTCTTACCTCAATCTGAGAAAAGCTATTTTAGAGAAGCATTAACAGGATGGATGACAAAATATCTCTTTTGGTCCCCACTATGTGACTTGAATAAATTCTCAAAAGCACAAAAACCTACTCGAGTCGAAGTTTTTCTCTAACTTGTGGCTATAGTTTTCGAACTTGTGCCTATCACATCCTCTATTTCCAAAGTACTTTGAAATGTTTGGATTAAATAGCTTATCCTTCAATAGTAAGCAATATTGTAATTCATACCAAAGTGTATCATACAACATGAGTATTCAAACACCATGCTAAGACTAAACCACCAGAGCACAATCATCAACACGACCCCAGAGTATCAGGCAACTGCTACAGGGACAATTTGAAAGGGTATGTTGGACATGTCACCATTGCAGCCTTGAAGGCCATATGCCCTTCAACTTTAATCACCCACGACAGCGGACACCGTGGTGTTAAGCTCACTGCTCAAAGAAGCTGAAGTCAGTTGTATACTCTTATCTATGGCGGGGACCCTTCCACCAACAATTTCATCAGTGTTTCTCTTTGGCCTCAGCAAAATAATGAAGCACTTGGGAGCAAATAGACAACCCAACAAGCCGTAGCTGGATGCCAAGATTGCAAATATTTCCACAGCCACTTTGAACTTCCCTTTGGTGCTCAAGTAAGCAGGGACAAAAGAGATCCAGACAATGAAAAACACAAGCATCCCAAAGGTGATGCATTTTCCTTCATAGTAATTATCTGGCAACTGGCGAGCCACAAACGTCGTAAGGAAGCAGAGCAAGGCCAGGAAGACATCAACCCCAAACATTGAGCACAAGAATTCTACAGAGCCCTCATTGCATTCAAATATGATCTTTATATTTTGAGATTCCATGTTCTTGTATACCCTGGGGGGTTCCAGCACCAAGTAAGCAGTGCATATGCCAACCTCAACTAGAACAGAGATTAGTATGATGATTTTCCGATAAAGGGGACGTATGGATATAAGTCGGGTTTTGGACTTGGAAATTCTGTAGGCTAAAAATAGTGAAATAGTCTTCCCGAGAATACAGGCTAGGCAAAGAGAAAAGCCCAGTGCTAGAGTGACCTGACGGGCCATGCAGGACCAGTTGTATGGCTTGCCAATAAAAAGCAGGGATGACAGCACTGTGATGGTCAGAGAAACCTGAATAAGAAAGCTCAGCTCGCGGCCATTGGCATTCACCAGGGGAGTGTGTCTGTAGATCACATACACAACCGTGACGGCCAGGACTACAAGGGCCCCAAAGATGGACAGAATGACCAGCGTGAAGCCCAGGGCCTCATCATAAGCAAGGAATTCCACCTCTTTGAGCACACATTCACTCTTCTCTGCATTGGACCAGTAGTCTTCACCACACTGTTCACATTCCCTTTGGCCTGTTAAACAGAGAACAGAGAACTCACTGTGAGTACATCAATTGTTCCCTTCAGCTGCAAATAGCCCAGAGCACTCAGGGGCCTAGAGAGCAAGGACTCATATTCCTACAGAAGATGTGCCAGGTCTCAAAAGAGAGAGCGATAAAAAGGACTTAGTGCAGGTAATGTCACACATGGAGAATTGTTTTCAAGTTCAGAAATTCAGTCTTTCTTGTCAGTTTCATTGTTTCTTGCAACAGTCTTTTCAAGGAACTTGCATCTTTTAGTCCAACTATGTACTTGAAAAGGAAAGTGTGTACCTGCATAAACCCAAAGCAATCCATGACAGAGGGGAAAAAACACAAGGCAATTAGAGCTACTGGTGTGAAACAATCAAGAGGGTTCTGACCCGGATGAGGCTGATTCAAACACCTGTGTTTTCAGCCTTACCTTCAGGCTCAGCCCCATGGAAGAGCATTCTGGCTTAACCTTCCCAGTGTCTCTGCTCCTCTCCCTCTGATGCAGATGTGAGGGACAGGCAGAGAAGGACCGAGGATCAGAAGGAAAACAAAAGCAGCCAGCACGTCTCCAGGGTCCAGCAGAGGTTTGAGGCAGTTAGCTGTTCTGCAGGGGCTCCAAGGCAGAACACTGGTATAGAAAAACAAGTCATCCAAGGGCTGCCAATTTTGAGAGATTGGGCAAGGTTTCTCTTTAATGTTCTTTGAAAGATGTGGGAAAGATTGCAACTTCCTTTTAATCACTTCTCAGTACTCCTGAGCTGGACTTGAATGCAACTCTACATAGAGACTGAGTCACCTGAGGCCCAGGGAGTTGTGCACATGATACTTTGTATCTTTCCTATTTAGAAAAAAAACAATTAACAATTTTTGGGGCTGACGCTGTGGCTCAGTGGGTTAATGCCCTGGCCTGAAGTGCCGGCATCTTATATGGGTGCCAGTTCGAGACCCGGATGCTCCATTTCCAGTCCAGCTCCCTGCTATGGTCTTAGAAAGCAGTAAAGGTGGCCCACGTCCTTGGGCCCCTGTACCCACATGGGAGACCTGGAAGAAGCTCCTGGCTGTGGATCAGCACAGCTCCAGCCATTGTGGCCAACTGGGGAATGAACGAGCAGATGGAAGACCTCTCTCTCTCTTCTCTCTGTGTGCAACTAGACTTTCAAAAAAATAAATAAATAAAATCTTTTTTAAAATTATCTTAAAATTGCTATCAAAGGCCATTTGGAAAAGATCAGTACAATTTTTGTTATGTTTGACAGAAAATAGAGATTTAAAAAAAAAACTGCTTCGCTAAGCTTCACAAAACTCAGCACACCAAGCTCAGCTGAAATTCCGGCCATGAAAGCAGCATTTCAGCAGCAGCCATGGGGAATCCAGAGCACAGCGGTTACAGAATTCATCTGTCCTAGAAACTGAGTATGTCAGCTTAACCCATCCTTCCCCGCCATGCAATATATATAGGACACTTATGGCAACTTTGAAATAAATATTATTTTGTCGCAATCCTCACAGAATTGAAAACCTGGCACTTGCTGGGTTAAGATAATTGTCCTAGGGATGAAATTCTAGATCTTGTAATCTATAATTAGAGATAATTCAGGAAAACATAAAATTTAAGTCACCTTTTTCCCAGTTAGGAACATAATTAATGTTTAATCTATTCAAAAAATGAAGTAATTTTACTTTTTATGAATCTGCTACTCTTATATCTTGTTTTGGATTTTCCTCTATCAACTTCATGGTTGTAGATCTCTTTCAAATTATAGCAGCTTTAGAATTGAAATTCAATGTTACATTGATTCATATTCACCACAACATGCAATAGTTTGATGGATTATAGAGATTTTCACTATAAATTATTGACATCCATTTATAAAGAAGGTTTCCAAGGCTCTCTTTGCCAACACATGCTTAATCAAATTGAATTTTTATATCAATGAAAGATCAAGCATCTCTACCTGCCGTCCGTGACACATGTCCATCAGCACATGGAATGCAGTCAAAGCAACAAATCGGTTCCCCCTGACGAATCCCCTTCCGGGTCCCAGGAGGACATAGATCGGTACACACTGAATGGGGAATCTAGCAAAGACAAATTCAACAAATGTAAGCAAGCACTACGTGTCTGCCACTCCCAGGGCTGAGAAAGTTCCCCTTCAGATCTCCATGGAAACTTGGTGCATATCTGAGAGGCACAGGACATCTGGGTAAAACAAGAGACAAAGATAACAATATACAGTCTAGAGAGGAATTTTTCTAAAGGCCATCTTGTGGTTGACTCTAGAAATGAAAAACCAGCTCTTTCTCTTTTTAAAGATTTATGTATTTATTTGCAATGCAGTTACAGAGAGAAAGAAAGACTCTTCTATTTACTGGTTCACTGACCCCAAGGCTTGCAATGACCATGGCTGCACCAAGCTGAAACCAGGAACCAGAAATGCAATCCAGGCCTTCTCATAGGTGGCAGGGACCCAGATACTTGTGCCATCTTCTGCTGCCTCACCAGGCAAATTGGCAGGGAGCTGGATCAGAAGCAGAGCAGACAGGGCTTCAACAAGCAATTCAGATATGGGATTCTGATGTTGCAGGTGGAGCCTTAACCTGCTGCACCACAATACCAACCCCACATGGAGACTCAGATGAAGTCCAGGCTCCTCACTTTGGATAGGCACAGCCCCCACTGTTGCAGCCATTTGGGGAATGAACCAGCAGATGGAAGACCTCTGTGTGAGTACCTCTCCCTTTCTCTCTGTAACTCTGCCCTCAAATAAATAAAATAAATCTTTTAAAAATAAGAATCATCTTGAGAGCCTTCAATGTTTCTTCCAAGCAAGGTCATCCCAAGAGACAAAGTGAAAGATGTGTCAGGAATGTTCAGTAGGAAAGAAAAGACAAAGATCTGTTCCCCTGGAAAAACTGGGAGAGGAATAGGAAGAGCAGACAGGGCACAGTGTTGGGATTTTCATTCTTCCATGAGTTTAGAAATCTCAGCAGCAAACACAGAACTGCCTTCCCTTATATTCTAAGTGAATGTGCACCTTCAACCCAGATTAAATGTCTGCTTTGTGAATCTGTTTACATCTTAATCTACTGGAAAAGTTCCGCATTTAAAGGGGAGATAAAATGTATTTTCCAGTAATAAAAAATTGACTTGGGGAAGTGAGTATTTGCATTTATATTTATTTTTGGAAATCAGAATTTTCAGATTGAGTTTTCAGGGTAAATTTAAATTAGGTAACATATAAAGTATTAGCAATCTCTGAGCTAGGTTACATATATAAGATTTCAGAAGTATGTATACATATGGTTAGGCTTGTGATCATTTTTTAAAAAGATTTATTTATTTGAACAAGTTACCAGAGAGAAGGAGAGGCAGAGAGAGAGAGAGAGAAAGAGAGAGGGGTCTTCCATCCACTGGTTCACTCCCCAGTTGGCCACAACAGCTGGAGTTGAGCCGATCTGTAGTGAGGAGCCAGGAGCCTCTTCCCGGTCTCCCACAGGGGTGGCAGGGGCCCAAACACGTAGACCATATTGTACTGCTCTCCCAGGCCATAGCAGAGAGCTGGATCAGAAGTGGAGCAGCTGGGACTCGAACAGGCGCTCATATGGGATGACAGCACAACAGGTGGCAGCTTTACCCACCACACCACAGTGCCGGCCCTGAGATCATTTTATATATGGATATAAAACATATTTTAAATACATTTTGAGGAATAGCTATTACAGGAAGAGGTGACAGTCAACTGTTCTCACATTCTGAAAGGTAATGATATCATCACCACAGAATGAATCAAATGTCCTCTCTCCACCCAGTCTTCTGGAAGGAGTTCTCCATATACTTTTCTCTCAAAATCACTGTGAACAATGGGCTGATGCCTTTCTGTTTCATTTCTCAGTATCCCTGTGCTTTTCAACCTCTCTGCTCTAGCTTCCGACCCACCACCTAAGACTCTTCTTGCCCTATCTAACGGCCTTTTGTATAGCTCCATCCTCCTTCATCTCACTTCAGTATCTGGTGCCCTTGATCAATACCTCGCTGAAATGTAAGCTTTGGGGCTGGTGCTGTGGTATAAAAGATAAAGTCGCTGCCTGTGGTGCCGGCATCCCATATGGTGCTGATTCAAGTCCTGACTGCTCCACTCTGATCCAGCTCCCTGCTTATGGCCTGGGAAAGCAACGGAAGATGGTCCAAGTCCTTGGGCCCCTACACCCACATGAAAGACTTGGAAGAAGCTCCTGGCTCCTGGTTTCGAACTGGCCTAACTCTGGGAAGTCAACCAGAGGATGGAAGATATCTCTCTCTCTCTCTCTCTCTCTGCCTCTCTCTGCCTCTCTGTAACTCTGCCTTTCAAGTTAAATATATAAGGTTTTTTTTTCCCCTCTCTTGGAAGCCCCCCATCATGCCACTCTAGCACGTTTGAAGAACACAAAACTGGATTAGAAAAGACTTTAAATATCCAAGTTTAATGTTATAAACTCATTATCAAACAAGAAGAGGCACTTGCTTATTCCACACAGTTTTGAAAGCACCTGCACAATTTTGTAAGACATTTATCCCTTTTAGGCCTCTGGGCCTTTCTCATTAAGATAACCATCATGTCTGATAACAAGATAAACTGCCTGGGAGACTTGGAAGGAGCTCCTGGCTTCTGATCAGCTCAGCTCCATACATTGCAACCAACTGGGGAGTGAACCAGCGGATGGAAGATGGCTCTCTCTCGCTCTCTCTCTCTCTCTGCCTTTCCTTCTCTGTGTAACTCTGACTTTCAGATAAATAAATAACTCTTTAAAACAGTAAATAAACTTAACAGAGACATTAAGAGAACATGATAGATTACTTTAACAGTACACAAAATCTGTGTCTTCTCAGTCACCCCAAAAATTGGTAATAAAATATTAAATATAAGAGTCAGCACATGGAATCATCCCATAACTTGGGACAATTTTAACAGAGTCAGAACTAGGGAAAAGAAAATAGATTGCAGGAGTGGGTTAGAAAACTGACAGAAAGTCACCAATTAAACAAAAACTATTAAATGGAGATGCTGCAGTTTTTAAACAGATTTTTAAGACTATTTCAAAATATTTACTAACATATCTACCACATTGCTTTAATAAAGTATCAGATTCTAATTTTATGTAAAAATCTCCAAATAAAGACAAGATTTTCTATATAAGATAACACATTGAATTTCAACCTTAGTTACTATTTTCATATGGATAATTTCTAAGGTGTGGGTGTTTGCTACAACAGTTACGTCATTGCTTGGGATGCCTGTGTCCCATCTTGGAGTGTTTGGTTTGAGTACTTGCCACTCCACTTCAGATCCAGCTTGCTAATGCACACCCTGGTATTTGGCAGTTGATGGCTCCATTACTCCAGTCCCTGCCACTCACATGAGAGATCCAGATTGGATTCCAAGCTTCTGGCTTTGGCCTGATACAGCCCCAGCTGTTGTGGGCATTTGGGGAATGAGCCAGCAAATGAAAGATCTCCCCCCCCCCCCGTCTCTTTCTCTCTCTGCCTTTCAAATAAAGTAAAAGTAAATAAATAATTCTGTCAGAAACTTTATTTCTACCATGTGGACATATGAATTCCTCCTAAGAACAGCATCTCTTCCTGGATTTCTCCCTGAGTGTTCCACACCTAGGAAGTCTTTATTAGTCTAGTCTTTAGATCAAACAATTACAATAAGACTTTCTATCATACTTTCTTAAAATCAGATTTTGTATTTGGAACAGTTTACTGACTTTTTTCTTATTAAGAAACACACATATCTCTTGTGAATTATTTTGATACATTTTCTTTTAAGAGGCACAAGATTTTGAATTAAAACAAAGAATAACTACAGGAAATTAAAAAGAAATATTATTACTGGTGACAAAGCTTAATATACTAAAATTTCTAAATTAACTTATATTGAGGCATTTTCAGTGTATGGTACTAAACAACACCTCGTCTTGAACCATGCAATATTTCCTGGAGGTGTCTATTTCACAGTAGAAGCCAATGCCTGGACCAGGATGAACCTGAATGTAAGCAGTACAGTTAGAAGGCTATGTGCAGAACGATATGAGCATGATGACAAACTTTACTTTGGTTCCATTTCCAGGATTTTTTTTTTGAAGTACCTGTATTCTTAGAGAATTGGCTTGGAATGGCAAATTTTAGGTGTTTAGATTCCACAAGTCCTAAAACAATATAGAAATGCAATTCTCTCTACATATAAACAAAATAAGACACCAGGGTGACTAACCTTTGAGGATTCGGTATTCCAAAATATTGTTGAATTCTTTCTGATCATGAATTCAAACTTAGACTGTGTGAATATGTATTCTCCAACCTTCACGAAGGCAATATCTCCATTATCATCTAATTGCCAATTTAGAAGATCATAGTATCCAGTCACGTCTCCAGCTATATCAATTTGTATTTTCCTTCCATCGTGGGTTGTAAACTTAAGTGTTTTCATATAGAACATGAGCTAGAAAGCAAAGGGTTGGGGGAAAAAAACAATTGTAAAAATGCAATTGTTTAGAAAATAGAATTTTAGAAAGAAAATTCCTTTAAAAATATCTAATTCAGGAAATGTGATGTTTCTTAATCTATTCCTGTATACTTTGATGTCTGCTACATCCTCTATCTTTACAGAGTCAGAGAAAGAGAGAGAGAGAGAGAGAGAGAGAGAGGTCTTCCATCTACTGGTTCACTCCCCAAATGGCCACAATGGCCAGAGCTGAGATGATCAGAAGCCAGGAGCTAAGGCTTCTTCTGGGTCTCCCACAAGGGTGCAGAGGTCCAAGCACTTGGGCCACCTTCCACTGCTTTTTCAAGCACATTAGTAGGAAGTTTGGGAAAGACCAGAAATGGAAACACCAGGACTCGAACCAGCGCGCATATGGGATGCTGGCACTGCGGGTAGTGGTTTTTTTCTGCTACGGCACAGCAACGGCCCCAGTGTGCAATCAATGGCTCCAAACACCATGAAACTATATAAGTTATCATGTGGGCCATGGTAACCTATATAATATTACAAGAAATGATGGAGAGAAAGGGTTATGAAAAAAGAGATGAACTCAGAGAGATGGACAGGGCCTGTGTCATGGAGATCCGACCATGCAGACCATGGTGCGCATGCTTTCTCCTTTAGACTTAAGAGGGAAGGCACAGAAGGATAGCCCCAGAGGAGCATCTGGTTAGTCTGTATCTCAGCGAGAGCACTCTGGCTCCCATGTCCCTACACAAGATGCTGGGGCACCACACTGAGACAGAAGATGTGGAGCCAAGCTCCAAGAGAGGCCCCCACAGTCTTCAGCTCCTGGTGTCCACGCCCACGCTGCGCATAGACTGCGCCTTCCAGTTTCCCTTGAGGTCAGATAGGACCACATGAGTAACCCCGGCTGACAGCTAGGAGAAGAGTTGTCTGTAATTTCCCAGATGATCCTCCCACGGCAGGCAACATGGCCACTTTGCCCCTTGCCCTTCCCACCGGTTAGAATGTGGACATGATGACTGAAGGTGAAGCCCCAATACTATGAGTAGGAAAATGACAAGACAGAAGAAACCTGGCTCCCTAAGTCACCCTCTCAGTCCTAGAATGCTTTTCTTGAAACTTAATCTACACCAAAGGGAAAAACCGCTGATTTTAAAGGCACTGCTTTTTGTGTTTTGTTTTGTTTTGTTTTTGGTGGGGGGGGGGGGGGCAGGTGGGGAATTCCTATCCTTAACAACAAACCTAATAACAACTCTGTTAACAAAAGAAAATTTAAAATACCCATTTAGGACCCACATGCAAGGCCTAATTATTGGTCAGTACATGATGAAATTGTGTCTATTAAGTACAAAGGCTAATTAATAGTTTTAAGAGCGAGAATTCTGATCATTGTCATGGGGTAAAACCAGCTACTTACCTGCCAAGGCTCAAAGTCAGGTATATATGCACAGCCATGTCCTGGAATGAATGGCCCCCGTCCCTCCTCACATCTGCTCAGACGATCCAGGGCATAGGCCATCGCGTACACAGCTTGTCTGACATTGTTTGTAATTCGGAGCTGAGACACATCCAGGTAGGTATTTTTAAGATCCTCCAACTTCTCCTCTCCGGTACAGAATCTATCAGACATGGCATGTAATCGGTCTTCCTTACCGGTCATGTTCACCCTGTGGTCAGTATTGTACGGGACACTGCTATTGGGCCAGGTGCAGTTAAAAGCTGTTTGCCAGAATTCAATGGTCAGGACGTCATTCGGATCCCTACTGGGATGTATGTCGTAAAGAAATTCCTTTAATCCTGGTATATCACTTCTTGGTACTGCAAACCCAATACTCCCACCAAAATATGGGAAATATTCGGGTTTTGCAATGGAGGCTGAGGTAATCCACGCTTCACTTGCTATCCATGTCCTGTCAGTTATGTTATGGTAAACCATTTCCAGCACAAAAGGACTGAGGTCAATGTCAGATGTATAAAGCACAATGACTTTCGCAGTGGAGGTCCTTACAGCGTCAACAACTTTGTGCATTTTCTCCTTGGAATAGACTTTGGGCAGGATCTCGGAGAATGCGATGCAGAGGTTGACACTCTCCAATTTCTCCTTAAAAACCTTCACTCCATATTTTCCATAATCATCATCAGCTGCTATAGTGCCTATCCAGACCCAGCCAAAGTGCTGGATAAGTTTTACCATGGCCTCAGACTGGAACTTATCACTGGCTATGGTGCGAATGTAAGATGGAAATTGGTATTTGTCACTAAGAACTGTGCAGGTAGAGGCATAGCCCACCTACAATTGAAAATAATCATGTAATTATTAGAGAACAATAGCAAATCTTAAATTATACAATTTCAGAACATACTGATTGGAGAAGGAGGGAACTCATGTATCTAAGCATAGGTGAAAAGCCTAAGATTCCTCTTCCTTCTCACAAGTAAGGAGAGAACACTCTGCACCTTTCCAGCCATCCTTTTCCCACCCTACCCCAAGAGAAAAGCCAATTATTAAGATGTAACATTCAATGTACTACTTTTCACAGAAGGGATCCTAGCACGGTCACTCCCCCCCCCCATTCCTCTATGCTCATCTGAGACAAGGTGAGTAAGACATCTATGGTCTTCCTCACAGCTAAGATCTTATCCATACAGATGGGAAAGAGAATGGACTCACAGTCCATTTGGCAAGCACAGTGTCTCCCCTCTCCTTCTCTCTGTGTGTATGTGTATGTGGGGAGGGTGTGGGTGGGTGTTGGTCTGTGCACACGTGTGTGTTGTGTCGTCCTCTCTCCTTCGCCCTCCTCCTCTTTATCTTCTTTCTCCTCCACCTCCTCTTTGTCTTCCTTCTTTTCTTCCTCTTCCTCTTTTTTCTCTTCTTCTGTTCCTCTCCCTTTTTTTGATCTCTACCACTTTCTGTCTTTCTTTCCTCTTTTCTTTCCTTATTTCTCTCTGCTAGTGCTTCTGTATAAGCAGATCCTAACACCGAGCTTGAAAAAGGTGATAAAAAGCAGCACTTCAATCTCAAGTTCAAGTCATGATCTCCAACAGATTTGCCAGAAGCCCTCATTTTATTGACACTCTGAAGATAAGTATAAAAATAATTTTTTTACTTGCTTAACGATTCTTGTATGTACTTCCCATCTGTGAGAACTTAACAATGTCTCAGATGACTAGGGATTTTAGCCATCTCCAAATTCTAGCCATCCTGTGAAATTCCAAGACCCAGTCCACGTGTTCAGTGCTTGAACAAAAAAAGGTCTTGAATAATAAGTGTTTACATAGGAAACAATCAAAATTATTTCCCAATACCATCCATCAATCGGCCACTGTGCTACAGAGAACTGTGCACAGTGAGATGGAAACATACAAATCACTGGGTCACAACCTCAAGCCAAAAATTAAACCAGGATCCCAGCGGATATGGAAGAGTCTCAAGTCACCTCTCAGCAGGCTTCAATATACACTTGCCTGATGCTACATAATTAGAGACAGCAGCATCATTCCTCCCTGCAACTTAACGCAGCCTCACCTGGGCACCTTGCTATTTGCTGCAACTTAACACAGACCAAGTATGCGTTTTTTTTTTTTTTTTTGAAGTTAGCACCCAACACAATACTCCACCATACCTGAGGTAAATAAAACAACCCCAGAATTCTTGAAGCAGCAATTGATAAGGATGATCCCCCTGATCCAACAATTCCTGCCAAGTACGCCCCAGTACTGTTTCGATAATTGGGCCTGTTTTCTTCCTGCCCTGTGAGTAGTACCAATGCCGATTCCATTGCTTTGGAGATGGTGAAACAGGTGTCAAAGATCTGATAACCCAGAGTAGTATTGGGCAAAATGTCTTTCCTTTCATTAATCTCTTTGATTGTGTGTATCATGGTTTTCATCCAGCGGAATCCGCGGAAGTTAAACCTGAAAAGAAATAGCTTTTGTCAGGCATTATCCATGCAGCATGTCTTTGAGAGGAAAGGAAACTTTTTGTTGGGGTTGGTAAGAGTGGCTATTCCCCCAAACTTCAGCAGGCACCTCCCTTGTCTGAGGTAATTAATTTTTCCTAATAGCCTTAGAAGTTTAAAGGCTAAAGCGTACATGATCTTCATTGTTGACTGATTTGGGATGGGAAGAAGCTTTTTGGAAGTCTTCTTGCCCTCTGTATATTTCATTTACTGTGAGCATTTCAAACTGCTGATTATCTCCTTTCACAAAAATATTCCTATATTCCTAATTCTCTCTTCTAAACCAAGCACCCAATAACCCCTGACGTACTTTCCCCATCTATTGTAAGTCCCAGGGGCCATATGAGTCTCATTTCTCTTCTCTTATTTTCTTCTGTACATTAATTATAACTTTAAAACACACAAAGAGACTTACAGTAGGAATACACAAAATTCATATATACTAACTCAAATCCCGTACCTTTCTGCCATGATTTGATTGTTAATGTTGAAGACATTCATTCCAGAAACCTTTTTCTAAGGAGTATTGTCAGTTTGCACAAATTTTTTTAAATGGAAATAAAAATCAGAAATAAAGCACCTGTCTGATTAGGAGGGCCTGCACTGACACCCCACCTCTGCCTGATACTTTCCACAAAATGCTGTAACAGCCATCTAGCCCCTCAAAACAGTGGTTTCCTCCTCTGAAAGGAGGACTTCCCATCTTCAACCAACTCTATGGCCTTGTCTAAGTAAGGTCAGAGCTGGTGAACTCAAGAGTCTTCCATAGCCTTGGCAGCTCATGACAAGAGCCTCGGGTGATTACTGACATCATAAATAAGAGTGTCAATTGTTAAATCAACAACGGGAGTCACTGTGCACTTACTCCCCATGTAGGATCTCTGTCCTTAATGTGTTGTAATATAAGAATTAATGGTAAAAATAGTCTTCAAACAGTACTTTATATTTGTGTGTCTGTGTGTGCACAATCTGTTGAAACCTTTAGTATATACTAAGTAGATTCTGTATACAAAGATAATTAAAAATGAATCTTAATGTACAATGAGATGGGAGCGGGAGTAGGAGATGGGATTGTTTCCAATGGGAGGGCGGTTAAGGAGGAGGGAACTGCAATAATCAAAAAATTGTACTTTCAAAATTTATATTTTTTTTGTATTTTTTTTAACTTTTTATTTAATGAATATAAATTTCCAAAGTACGACTTATGGATTACAATGGCTTCCCCCCCATACTGTCCCTCCCACCCACAACCCTCCCCTTTCCCACTCCCTCTCCCCTTCCATTCACATCAAGATTCATTTTCGATTATCTTAATATACAGAAGATCAGCTTAGTATACATTAAGTAAGGATTTCAACAGTTTGCTCCCACACAGAAACATAAAGTGGAAAATAATAGATGATTTTTTTTAAATGATGATGAAATCAGATCAGACCTATTGTCATGTTTAATCCCAGTGAGAGTCAAGTTGGGAATTGATAATTTCTTTTTTTTTTTTTTTTACAGAAGATCAGTTTAGTGTACATTAAGTAAAGATTTCAATCGTTTGCACCCCCATAGAAACACAAAGTGAAATATATTGTTTGAGTACTCGTTATAGCATTAAATCTCGATGCACAGCACATTAAGGACAGAGATCCTACATGAGGAGTAAGTGCACAGTGACTCCTGTTGTTGACTTTACCAATTGACACTCCTGTCTATGGCATCAGTAATCTCCCTATGCTCCAGTCATGAGTTTCCAAGGCTATGGAAGCCCTCTGAGTTCTCCGATTCTTATCTTGTTTAGACAAGGTCATAGTCAAAGTGGAGGTTCTCTCCTCCCTTCAGAGAAAGGTACCTCCTTCTTTGAAGACCTGTTCTTTACACTGGGATCTCACTCACAGAGATCTTTTGCCAGAGTGTCTTGGCTTTCCATGCCTGAAATACTCTCATGGGCTTTTCAGCCAGATCCGAATGCCTTTAGGGCTGATTCTGAGGCCAGAGTGCTATTTAGGACATCTGCCATTCTATGAGTTTGCTGAGTATCTCACTTCCCATGTTGGATCACTCTCTCCTTTGGTGGCATGTACCAATGCCATCTCACTATTCCAAGTGATCAATTTCAGTTCACAATTGATCATAATGAAAGGACTAAGAGTCAAAGGGAGCACATAAACAAGTCTAGTACCTGCTAACACTAACCGACAAAATTTATATTTATTAAATAAAAGTTTTTTAAAACAAGATTAAATGAGATATTTTCTGTCCCTAAGATCTAGTTAGCACTGAAGAGAGATTAATTCTCTTCCCAAGAGCTTCACCCTAGAAAAACAGGGCCAGATCCAAATTTTGAGAGTTTTTAAATTTTGTTTTACTTAATTATCAGATCTGCACCCAACCCGCCCCCCAAATTAACAAATACAGGAAATAAATAAATGCCATTGCTTACTTTCACACAAATGTACGAAGATGCTGAAATCAGCTAATTGGCTCCTGTGTGAGGCAAGCCCTAGAGCTCAGGCCCCTGGTATCGCAGGGGACAGCGGACACTCTGGCCTCACCGCCAACCTCGTCTCTGTTCCTAAATATGCCCACAACGGCCTCTGCTGGCCGAGGACTGCACATTCCTCCCCACCCTAACCCGTGAACACCCTGCTCCTCTTTCATTTCTTTTCTTCTTACATTTGTTAAAAGATTTAGTTGTTTATTTGAAAGAAAGGAAGAGTTACCGAGAAAGAAAAGAGAGAGCGAGAGAGAGAGAGAGAGATGAAGGGAAGGAGGGAAGTATTTTCTTTCTTTCTTTTTTTTTCTTTTTCTTTTTCTTTTTCGTTCTGTGTTTTTTTTTTTTAGATTTTGTGTTTGTTTCGACAGGAGGAGTGGACAGTGAGAGAGACAAGGAGAAAGATCTTCCTTTACCGTTGGTTCACCCTCCAATGGCCACTGCAGCCAGTGCATTGCGGCCGGTTCACCATGCTGATCCGAAGCCAGGAGCCAGGTGCTTCTCCTGGTCTCCCATGTGGGTGCAGGGCCCAACGACTTGAGCCATCCTCCACTGCACTCCCAGGCCACAGAAGAGAGCTGGCCTGGAAGAGGGGCAACCGGGACAGAATCTGGTGCCCCAACCGGGACTAGAAACCAGTGTGCTGGCACTGCAGGTGGAAGATTAGCCTATTGACCTGCGGTACCAGCCAAAGTATTTTCCATCTGCTGGTTCACTCCCCAAGTAGTCTCACCCACAGGACTGAGCCAGGCTGAAGCCAAGGGGGGTTGGAACTCCAGCCGGGTCTCTCCCATGAGTTCAGAGACCACAGCACTTACGCCATCTTCTGTCTCTTCCAGGCACATGAGCAGGCAGCTGGACCCAAGTGGAGCAGCCAGGACTTCAACAGCGCTCATGTGGGATGCCAGTCTTTCAGTTTAACCAGCTGCGCCACACCACAGTTTTAAAGGGAAACCTTCTCTATGCTGTTTCACACTTACCTTCTGAAGAAGATGATAAATCTTGTCAATGTTCCCATTCAATGCTTATCTTTCTCTTAGCCAGTCTTAGCACACACCAGCCCGTCTGTCATGCCGCATGCCTGGTGCCTCACACCGGTTTCCATTGTCCCTCGCCTTCCACTCCTGTGCTTCATTCCCAGCTGCGCGCCCTCAGTTCTCTCCAGAATTCCCTCTCCTTCCATTGTCCACCTTCCAGGCATTGCTGTTCCCTCGTAGCGAGTAGGCCCGAGTGAGAGATCAGTCCTACTTTGGTGTGAATGACTGGTAGCCACCCCACCCCTGCACTTGCAAATGAGCCATGGAACTGAACTCCCTGCTCACCTTTCTCTTGCCCTCCTCTCCCTTCTGAGAGAACCTGAGCAGACACAGCTAAGAAAGAGGGTGGCTCGGCTGCTCCCCACCCTGGGAACCACTGTGTGTCTTACATGTGAATATTGCTTAAGTCTGCCCGGTACTGCTTCATCAACTTTTTTTTTAAAACCACACAGTCCGGAATCGGCAAGATGGCGGAAAAGGAAGGGAGCACACTGATAGTCCGGGAAGAGACAGTTTAATAAAAGTGGAGATACTGCAGGTTCAAGGAAGAGTTGAGGAAGAAACAGCAGAGGAAACTCTTCCGGAACTAGTGATTCACAGTGGACCTGCATGGAGAACGTGGGAGCCCACGATTCGGGACACCAGCAGTGGAATCAACACACCAGCGCTGGAATGCGAGGGGAGCCAAACCTCAATAGCCCAAGATACCGGGGGGGAAAGTGGAAGGAGAAGCCTAGAGGGAATGAAGCTTGAAGCCCCGTGGGGGAAAGTTCAGCAAGCTAACTAGAAGAGAGAGGAAAAAAAAGAGAGAGACCAGTACGGACACAAGTTTCTCTCTCTCTGCTCACCTCTCAAAGGCGAGCAAGACAAAGAGCAGGCGCTATTTTGGAGATACGTAAAGGCGGCATGACCTCAGGTCTGTGTCCACCCTCAGCCAAGCAGAAAAACCTGACTCGGGGGAGGGGGGTGAAATAACAGGAGATTAGGACCTAGTGAGTGTATGGTGCTAATGAACTGAGACTGTGAAAAAAAGACACAGTGGGTGAGAGAACTCACGTTGTTCATGTGAGTACTCTCCAGAGACGCTACAATTTGGTAACATTGGCAACCCAATAGAAGACTGCAGGAGAATTTGAGCCCACACTGAGGGCAGAACAGATTCCCTGTGTGGTCCCTGGGAAAGAGCAGGTGAATGTTATACCCACAGGAGCCAGAGACTGGAAGCTGACTACCTTCAATTCCACTCAGCTGTGTGGAATTACTTCCCTTCTGAATCAAAAAAGAGAGAGAGATTTACCATGCCTAACCTGAGAGTATCACCTTTGGAACACCCTTAACACTGAGGAACTGAACAGAGCTCTCAGGCCACACCCATCTCAAGCCTC